CAAGAGTCAAGAATCATCAGGTACAACACTTAATATCATAGGTTACAATAAGCAATCAAATCAGATAGATAGATAGATAGATAGATAGATAGATAGATAGATAGATAGATAGATAGATATAGAAAGAAAGAAGGAAGGAAGGAAAGAAAGAAAGAAAGAAGGAAAGAAAGAAAGAAAGAAGGAAGGAAAGAAAGAATAGAATTCTTTTATTGGCCAAGTGTGATTGGACACACAAGGAATTTGTCTTTGGTGCAAATACTCTCAGTGTACCTAAAAGAAAAGATACATTCATCAAGAGTCAAGAATCATCAGGTACAACACTTAATGATAGTCATAGGGTACAATAAGCAATGAAATCATACTAGGAAACAGTCCATATAATCCCCTTCCTGTGAATTTGCAGTGCTCCAAGACCTACTCGAGCCAGTTCCTGGATATCTTCCACGCTCACCACATGGCGGTGGATGCCGTCCGCTGGAACCCCTTCCACAACAAGATCTTCATTTCCTGCAGCTCGGACTGGACTGTGAAGATCTGGGATCACACCATCAAGTAGGTGCCTCCAGCCAAAGTCTGCACCCTTCCAGGTGGGCTGTCAGGATTCCGGCAGTTACCCCCATTTGAATCACGAGTCTCGAGCCAAACTTCCAAAACTTCAAAAAAATTTATTGGGAGTTAACATGTCCGGCACTGCCTAGGTGTAGCTGACTCTGAGACACACAATTCATTTTCACCCTTGACCCTCGTTTTCCCCCACCCCCTGGGTGTATCATAATTCATATTCTCCAATGGGACACCTCCGTAGCCCAGAGTCATCAGTCATGCTCTCCAGTTAGAATTTTGCCCAGCTGAAACTTCAGTCACCTAGTTGCTATCTTTGAAAACATTGATGGAATGCAGTTTCGGTTTCCAAGCTGCTGCACTGCTCCCCCGTCCCTTTCTGTTGGCAACTCTAAAAAGACCAGAGAAATATTTTAGGAGTTGACATGGACCACATGTTCTGACCCAGCCTTAGCAGAAGCAAGAAACAGATTCCTTGTCACGAAAACCCCCTTCTTTATTTACCTTTTGTGAATGAATGGCATTCACCCACCAAAAGGTCCAGGCAAGAGTCCTTAAACAGATAACAGATCATCAGAGTTGGAAGGGACCTTGTAAGTCATCTAGTCCAACCCCCCCCACCCAAGCAGGAGACCCTACACCATTTCTGACAAATGGCAGTCCAACCTCTTCTTGAGTTAACGGCAGTAACAGACCTTATCGGTTCCTTGCGATCGTGGCTAGGCCAAGCAGCCTTTATGGCACGAAACATAATGAGCAAAATCTTCAGAAAGACAAACTGTTGTTTCCTATGACAGCCCCTCACCTTTCCTCCTATTTATTCCCCAGCCAGGGAGGGGCCATCCAAGTGTGTGCTTTGCTTCCCGAGCCAGCTCATTGTCCTCCGTTGTTCCCCTCTCCTAACAGCTGTGTGCATACGTGCGTCTGCAACAGGCCCCAGCTATTCTTCCTCCTCACTCATCGCAACCTCCGAAGGCAGCTGCCTCTCCGGTGGCTGGGAAATGTCCGATGGCCCTGGCTCTATCTCTGTGTCCAATGCAGAGCAGCCATCAGGCTCCAGCACTGGCCCAAGATCCTCCCCAACCTCCTCGTAGTCCGATTCCTCCCCCAGCTCTGCTGGCAGCTAGAGGGCCACAACACTACACATCTTGGACCAACCACAAAACCATGGTCATAGCTGGAGCTCCTCCACAGGGGTGGGCCAGCTTTATAGAGTGTGGTATTAGTGCCTCCCTTGATCTTGATTTCTGGGGATCTTGTTCTCCTTTTAGGGAACTTCTCGGTGGTGCTTCTTGATGGCTTTAGTTTCTAGAAAACATCTCCCGAGTTGTAACTTTCCTGCTTTGCTTTCTGCTTTCTCTCTACAACCAGCTTTCCCTGGGTGCCTGACCTAGTTTTTAGCCAGGGCCATCCGTATTCGGACTTCCCCTGGTCCTACGAGAGCTTTCCCCTCCTTGGGCAAGAGAAAATCCTGCAGCTCCACTTGACCTGTCGCCTCTCCTGTCTGCAGGACACCCATGTTTATCTACGACCTGAATTCTGCAGTTGGCGACGTGGCTTGGGCGCCTTATTCCTCCACCGTCTTTGCGGCTGTAACCACCGACGGGAAGGTAAGAGGGGCCCCCCCCGGCGTGGGATAAACCCTGGGATTCCAGCAGGTGAAGAAGGCAAGAGGGACCTTAGTGGTACAAGTGAGAGCAAGGAAGAACCCAGCGGGCTCTAAGACCATCATATTCCCCAACTACGCACATCGTTTCAATAATTCCCGCAACAAAGTCAAGTGCCGAAAGATTAATATTGTTGTGTTCTTGGATGGTGTTAAAGATTATCAGTTGTGTTCAGATGTAAACTGTTCCAACTAAAGCTGCCTTCTGCAATTGGCCGATGGGGATTTTGTCAACGCCGATGCTGTTTGAATAGGGCTCTATTCTTAACGGTTCGTTGTAAAGTCAGAGTTTAAACTGAATTTGACATTCTTATCCACCTCTCGAGCCCTTCCCAGGGACCTGGGATAGGCAGGTGTGAATGTTGGATGGTGTTAAAGGTCTCCAGCTTTTCCAAGTGAAGCTGCCTTTTGCAGCTGTTTTTTTTTTGCAGCTGCCTTTTGCAGCCTGTCAATTGCCAAAGGTGTTCCAGTGGTGCTCCAGGTTTTTTGGGATTGCACCCAAAGCGCCTATCACTATTGGTGCTCCGGTTGCTTTCTTTTGCCACCGTTGTTCTACTTCTATTTGCAGGCCTTTATATTTTCTGTTATTATGTGGTTTCCAGGTCCTGCCACATCCACTATTCAGACTTTTTGGGGCTTTCTTATCGACAGTTGTTAAGTCCCGGGTGTTACGTGGCAGGTGGTTGTCTGTCTGTCTGAATTCTAAAGTCCCAGAGCAAATTAACTCCTTCCTTTTCTACGACTTCCTTTATTTTATGGTCCCACCAGTTCTTGCTTGCAACCAATGGCATCTCTTGTAGATCTTCCAATGTTCCATTTGTTGCTACTTTGTCACGCCGTTGCTTGTAGTCAGTCGGGGCAATCTTCCGGTGGCAGCTAACCAAGTGGCCCACTGTTTATTATTATTATTATTATGTCTCACAGTCACCCAGATGTTTAGAGCCTTTTTATGCACCCATAGAGTCTTTCCCAAGGTGAATATGTGATGGTGTTAAAGGTCTTATCTCAGGATGTATACGTTCCCAAGTAAAGCCACTTTTTGCAATTAACTGATAAGGATTTTGTCTATGCCGATGGTTTGTAAGCATTTTTGTCATAGTCAGAGCTGAAGAAGCTTCTTGGATGAGAAGTGAAACATCTTCAGAGAAAACCCAGAAAGTCCAGTTGCCTCTTGAAAAAAGCACCTTTGGGACAACCATGATCTGGATGGCTGACAAACTCCATAGACATTCAGAGTGCTGATTGTCACCTTTAAAGTCCTCCATGGCTTGGGATCAGGTTATCGGAGCGACCGTCTCTTGCCAGTCACATCCACCCCAGCCATTAGAGTGGGGAGGCAAGGAATGTTGTGGGTTCCATCCAGGGGTGGGATTCAACTTTTTTAACAACTGGTTCTGTGGGCGTGGCTTAGTTGGTGGGCGTGGCTTGGTGGTCATGTTATTGGCTGGACGTGGCCAACTCAATATCACTCACATCGAGGCACACATCTCCTCGCCTGGCCTCTCGTGATTGTGGGGATGCCGCAACAGTCGTAAGTGTGAAAAACGGTCATAAGTCACTTTTTTCAGTGCCATTGTAACATTGAATGGTTACTCCACACAAGCAAAGTACCAGCAAAGGAGGGGGAAAAAACTCCAGAGAAGTTCCTGAGACAGGAAGTCTAGTCCTGCCAAGAATGTAATAAGGGTTAACGGAGTGGCAGTTTCTGTAAGCAACCCCAGAATGTTTCCTTCCTGCCTTCCTTACAGGATTAGGCCAGTAATTTCTTCTAACAACCAGTTTGGAGAACTGGTTGTTAGAAGAAATTACTGGCCTAATCC